GCACGAACTTTTCTGTCCGCCGCTTATAAGCATCCCCCATGATTCAAACACACGAAGAACTAACTCATCTAGAATGGACTAAGGGCGAAATTATGTCACCTCTATATAACACTACACGTTTCGGCTTACTTTACGTTATCATAGTCCTGTATGATACTCAATTGTACTCGTCGTCTCAATTCCGTTGACCGCACCTAAGAATTCAGCGGCTTCAGCCTCTACGCATGCGTTGTATCCTTCTCTATGGTATGCCTCGAGCATACGAGGAGTGAAGAACTGATTGACCGTGTTGTGTTGTGGGAAGGCACCGTACATGACACTAGACAGCTTTTGACACTTGATACTGTGACAGCACTCACAGCAACAGAAGGTTAAGGAGTCAACCTCATCAGCGACTTGCTGTGGACTTTCTCCCCACTTGGCAGCTTCAAGATCTACGTCAATGTCACGCAACGCTTCCTTCCATGACACTGTTTCCTCTCCCTGGACGCCTTTGTCAGGATGTCTCTGGTAAAGGAGCAGAATCTCACCTTCGCCAACCTTGGTTCCCTCCGAGTATAGGTCTTCTTTGTCGTAATAATGAACTTTAAACCTGTAAAGATTTATAGCAGCGTCTTTAGAGCAAAAGGTTATATATATTCAGAAAGACTAAACGGTTCATTCACCGGATTTCCAGTCCACGAAGAATTGGGAGAAGACAAGGTGCAAAAGTGAGGGCGTTCGCCTCCCACAGTGGCCTGGGTTCGATCCGGCCGGGAGTCATGTGTGGGTTTAACTTGAGTTTGTCGTTGGTTCTCATCGGTTCCTTGTTCCGAGGGTTTTTCAACGGAAACTCCGGTTTTTCTACCTCCACAAAAAAAAACATTTCTTAATTCCAATTTGATCTGTAATCCGAGGGCTACGGGTTTGTCAGTCAAAAGACCGTTAAGTGTTACACTCGTTAAACAAAGTCGGTTTAATAAATCACCGCCAACGGTGAAATCGTGCTAAAATAACTTACGTGCAACCGTGAAATTCTAAACGGTTTCAATATGAAGTCCAAGAAGTGTCGGAAACAAATTATGAAACCAATGTTATAAAGGACCTACAACATTATAAATCACCTGTAGCTTCTTGGTTGGTTTCCCTGTGGCTTGTAAACAAATTTCTCCTTGACATCTTCAATGACGTCACGGTCATCCAACCAATGAATGAACAGTGTAGTTTTCGACTTGCCAATATCAAGGCATCTAGCAAGCTGTCCCCCATTCAGAGTCGCGCGTCTTCTGGCCACCGTCCACAACGACAATCTCGGGCAAACGCTTCTTCAGAAGGGGTAGAATGGCAAGGTTTTCAATATGGCCGCCATCACTTAGGCGTAAGATGGGAGGAGGCATAGGACCTTGATTTACAACGTCTAACATATCTCGAACGAACCGGACGAACGGTACATTGTAATGAACCATCTGACAGAGAAAAAACGACATACAAATGCTACAATAAAAACTGAATTTTCATAACCGGTAAAGCAAGTAGGTTTAGATGTCAATCTTTGCTTGTAAACATGGAAACAACGTTAACATACAAATTAATTCCTCTAACAAATAGGAGTTGCAGTGGCATAAAGTTAGCGATTTGGACTCCGGGTTCGAACGCTGGCCGGGTCATTGTATTGTGTTCCGGCTTGGGCCTCTCTTCACCAAGAATATAAATGGGTACGAGCTTTGGTAACCTGCAAAATATGGATAGTAACTAGCGATGAACTAGCATCCCATCCAGAGGGAGTATCCAAGATTCTCAGGGTAAACTCTGCCACATTGGCCCAGTACAAAGTCAAACTTTCCATTTGATATTTTCCCTAACATAATACAACATTTTCCTGAAGAATCTAACTTTCTACGCTTACCTCGCTACGATTTCTATTCTGCTTGGGTTCTGTCCCAGTCTTCATCACAGCGAAAACTGCTAACATCGCATAAGAAAAAAGACGAAAACTCCGATGGCGACCCACATCTCGCTCCCCCCGGCAAAGTATACCAGAGGAAATGTTAACAGCGGGAGACCTCGAATAACTTGAATAACGTAGGGTAACACCTATTAAATAAAACAAAAGAAAGCACATTCGTTAGTTAACAGTGAGCCACATGGAAACAGGGTCTCTAAACCCCACCGTGGTAAGCGTGACCTATTTGAGCTAGCATGACTAGTGTGGGGAGACAGGGGGACGGGAACCCGTCAACAGTAGTCAACAGTAGGCAGGAAAATAGAGGGCGGGATCGAAGCGGGATAAATAGGAAACAATTTCGCAATATTTCGTAATAGTTTGCAACTGCGGGAACAGCACATATATAGGCGGAAGCTAGAAGTAAAGAAGTGGGAAGTCTCCCTGCCCCCCTCCCTGCCCCCTACCTTCCCTCACTGACTAAACAGCCGAAGTTTGGCGGAGCCACTACCAGTTCATAATGCTGTCGCGCCTTTTTCACTATCTTAGCTGCATGTGCTCACCCGCAAACAGCGGTTTTCTCTTTTTTGGCCTTCTACATCAGAAACCATCGACGCACCCATACCCAGTCCTAGCACAATTTGTAGCTGTTTAAAGCGTTCCGCTGATTTCTCGTAGGCTCCCATGTGTGGAGCAATCGCGGCGGCTGACGTTGTCATGGCAGCTGACAGAGGAATTTCTCGAGAGTCAAGCTTGTTTTCAAACTGTTCCTGTCCTGGTCGACGATCCAGGCGTTCTATGTCAGTCGGGGACATAATAAGGAGTTCGTAGTTCAGCTCGGTGTCTGAAATCACTGACGCACCATTCGTTCACGACAATATTCGACAGGTACTGTGGCTTGACTTCTTCAAGGTTGCAAAGGCTCAGAGATCCCTGTTCGTTATCAGCAAGAGGCGCGTGTGCTGTTGGTGTGGCACACGTCCATCTTAGGAAAATATATTTGATACCTATTCCACTGCATCTCGTTGAACCGACACTTGTCTCTGTGTAGAAAGCTTTCTGCAGCCTCCATCTGCAAGTCAACACAACAATTATGATCCGTATAAACCTCTGGGGAGAACTCCCATATAAAGGTAAGGTACCAAGATCTGTTTGTGGGTGTGGCTCAAATTTATTTTACCCACTAAGAGGTACCAATTCTACGACAAAACTAAGATTTAAACACACTAACTGGTACCAATCCACAAATGTTAGCCCCTGAACGATAACTCCAGTCACTTCTATATGGGAATCCCCCCTTTCCCCAGAATCGAAACCACACATATTTCCTGACATATGTTTCACCCATTCAACGGTGTACTCGATCAAGAGGACTGTGCCATGAAAGTAAATTAAAATGTTAGAAATCCATGAAGGTTCACGTTACCTGTTAAACACATACACAAGTCGATGTTGAATTTCTCCTAGCCCAGGCACGAGCCACAACATTATTCCAGAAGCAACGAGTGAGTCGATGGAACAGAACATCAGTATACTTGACACCCAATATGGTCAATTCGTACTCAGATCCGAACACTTTACAATACGAAAGACGATATGCGTCTAAGAACTGGAAAGAAAAACCACACTATAACGCTGAAGATAACGATCAGGAGCATGGCCCATATGGGAGTTAAGATTAGGTAGTTATGGATGAAATATGGTATGAAAGTGAAGGCGAGCAAGAAACCACTCAGAACCGAAATGATATACAACTTGGCAGAAAATCCATTTCTTAATCTTTTAGCCAGCAAATAGAAACCAACAAAAATCACTGCGAGAATAGAAAACAATAAAAGCCTTTCATAAGCTTTGGACCCCGCCATAAATCATACATCGCGACCTTCCACTATTTGGAACAGTAGCATTTACTACAAGTGACTTTTTAATTGGTATCCCAGTGGTCGCCGACGTTGCATCTTCACATTCTGGATCTTCAGCTCGCAGCAAATTGCCGAACATGAAATCGATGGCATAAGCCAATGGAAAAATGTAGGATGCCCACATAAATATGGGTATTACGACGGAAACGAACAGCATCAGAGAAAGTAATATTAGGGTGCCCAGGATTCCTTGAAGAGGTTTCTGCCAGTTGCACATCAATCCAGCTCTTTCTCTCATGTAATCGAAGAACTCCTGATGCCATTGTAGGTCGTCTTTCTTCCCATGCCTGTATTTCCAGTCCAGGTAGGCTGTGCCTGTGTAACCGCCCCCTGACACGCAGCTCAGGTAGTCGATCTTGGTTTTGCGCTGTAAAAGCCTACGCAGAACTCCAGAGCAGAAGGCCGCTGACCGTATACCACCACCAGAGAAGGCTAAGCCGTTTTCAGCCATTGATGCTTTAAGCTGTTGAAAAAACGAAATATTTATTACACTGTTTTGTTCGTAATAGTTTGGTAGTGGTAGTGGTGGTTTTCTTTCGTCTTTCGTCTTTCGTCTTTCGTCTTTCGTCTTTCGTCTTTCGTCTTTCGTCTTTCGTCTTTCGTCTTTCGTCTTTCGTCTTTCGTCTTTCGTCTTTCGTCTTTCGTCTTTCGTCTTTCGTCTTTCGTCTTTCGTCTTTCGTCTTTCGTCTTTCGTCTTTCGTCTTTCGTCTTTCGTCTTTCGTCTTTCGTCTTTCGTCTTTCGTCTTTCGTCTTTCGTCTTTCGTCTTTCGTCTTTCGTCTTTCGTCTTTCGTCTTTCGTCTTTCTTCTTTCGTCTTTCGTCTTTCGTCTTTCGTCTTTCGTCTTTCGTCTTTCTGATCTCGATCAAAGCGAGAAAGAAAATCTTTGGGCCCAAGGTATGAGATGATAGAGATCAGAAAATAGTTAGCATTAATTATAACAGAACAAATCACACTAAAGAAGCGAGGTCCGAAACCTCGCTTTCGTCCAAAGGCTTAGTCACTAATCATACAACTGTAAAATTGACTATGACAGTGAATATATGAAATATCATATATTTAAACTGCGGTTGAAAGATTTTAAAATACATAAAAGTTATGTACGCAACTTTTAAGTTGCTTAAAAGCAGTTGCGAAAAGAAACTCCTGAAAAAATATTCAGGCTAGAACGCGATTCGAACCCATGACCTCTGTGATACGGGTGCAGTACTCTACCAACTGCAACCGAGCTATGAAGCCAACCGGGAGCCGGTGTTATTGTGAGTTTATTATGAGCTCCCCCGCTTATAGCCCCCTCCCCCTGGAGGGTTATAGGCCCATCTCCCCGCTGACAGAAAAATATTTGTTTCCGGTATATTTTGCTTTTATGAGATTTTGAAGCATGTTTAGTTTACACGAGCCTGCGAGCCGAAGCCTCTTTTTGAGAACCAGAGCCTTTCCTATACATGTAGATGCGAGCCACTGTTTTTGCTCTTCGTTTTATATATATATATATATATATATATATATATATATATATATATATAGAAGTTTGACGGTGCCACTCGAGCCAACAGAGATATTACTTCGCCAGGAGGATCCTGTAAGGATTCGCAGTCCAAACCTCGGCATGTGAATGAAGTAAAAAGGTTTAAAAAAGGCTAAGGACGGACAACTTCTGACGATAAAAAACACGCTGAAATCACGACCAAATCGCAGCTGATTTATATGCGCGATTTGAAGTTGCAAAAAGTCGCAAAAATATAGCTGTACAGAACACATAATAACTGAAAAAATCAGGTTCAAAAGAAAATACTGAGTGCATGTATTATTTGTAATAAAAAAGTACAACAATGATTGCGTGATATATGGAGAAACCTTTTTTTCCGAAGGCCCAAAACTTGCCAAATAAAATTGCCAACGCAACTCATCACTAATTGAAAAAGGAGCAGGCATCTTTCTCGAAAAGCAAAATATGTTGTTTGTAATACTATGAAACAAACAAACGAGCACAAAATGTGTCTCACCTACCTGATGTTTTTAACAAGTTAAACAATGACTGGTGTGACATGCACACGCGCGCACGTGCAGGTAAACAAAAGTATATATCTATCTATATATCTTTCTAAAGAAAACCTTTTTGAAAACGGGTGTATATATATATATATATATATATATATATATATATATATATATATATATATATATATATATATATATATATATATATATATAAAAAGGTTTAAAAAAGGCTAAGGACGGACAACTTCTGACGATAAAAAGTAAAAATTTTAAAAAAATTTTCGTCTTTCGTCTTTCGTCTTTCTTCTTTCGTCTTTCGTCTTTCGTCTTTCGTCTTTCGTCTTTCGTCTTTCTGATCTCGATCAAAGCGAGAAAGAAAATCTTTGGGCCCAAGGTATGAGATGATAGAGATCAGAACTATTTTCTGATCTCTATCATCTCATACCTTGGGCCCAAAGATTTTCTTTCTCGCTTTGATCGAGATCAGAAAGACGAAAGACGAAAGACGAAAGACGAAAGACGAAAGACGAAAGACGAAAGACGAAAGACGAAAGACGAAAGACGAAAGAAGAAAGACGAAAGACGAAAGACGAAAAATTTTTTAAAATTTTTACTTTTTTATCGTCAGAAGTTGTCCGTCCTTAGCCTTTTTTTAAACCTTTTTATATATATATATATATATATATATATATATATATATATATAGTATGTGTGGAGTGGAGCAAACAGCGAACTTCTTACCATGTCAAAACTTTAATGCAAACGTTTCGCCCGTTCGGGCTTCTTCAGTACATATAACGGATTAAAATACTTGGAATAAAAATGTTTTTAAAAATTGGGTCTTATATAAGCGAGAATACAATTCAAACAAATATTAAAAATTACAAACAGTAAAATTATTAATTACTGGTGAATAAAAATGAATGGCCTAGAGAAAGTGCTAATTAAAAGGTACCGGACCACTAGAGTATTACGTAATTACAAGGAAAATTACAATGGAAATAAATAAACAATATAGTTCGTAACAAATTCTTAACTCAAAGTCCTTGAACTAAAGCGTTTTCTAGTGTACAATATTACTCCAGGGTAACAGGATCCGAATAAAAAGCCTTTGAATGATTGATAACAAAATCCTAAAATTAAGCCCCTGAACTCCGGTATTGTATGCGGCTATACTCTCAGCCTTGTAAAAATTCCTTGATAAAGCCCTTGAACGATTATACAATTATATTCTTTGAATTTAACCATGATTACGTAAGAAGAACACCTGTGGGTCAGTAGAAACAAAAGTATTCGAAAAAACTAAACGGCAATTTGTGGTATTAATTATATCTTATTCTATTCTTGGAGTTGAACTCAGATCTTTTATTCAAACCGTAAGGTTGAAGGGTGCAAAGTTGTGCACTCCAATAAGCTTCTCTTGTTAACAAGCGATGATCGAGGCTATTATTGTCACTGAAATTGAAAACTTGTTCAATGATAGCGAAATCAAAATCAGACAAAACATGAGTTTCTTTGTTAAAATGTATCGCGACCTCACAAGTGTTTTTCTTTGTACTCATAGCCGATTTGTGGTTGCGAAATCTGACTTTAAATTCGTTGCTTGTGGATCCTATATATTGAACATTACATTTATTACAAGTGACTAGGTAAATCACGTTCTTAGATTTGCAATGGAGATGTTGTGTGATGGGATAGATTCTGTTGGTGCTAGCGCTAGTGAAGTGATCGGATTCTACTAAAAAATTACGACAGAGATCACATTTCCCTTTGCATTTAAAACAACCTTGTACATCTGTGTTATTGTAATTAGTGCGACGAGGGCGTGCTAGAATATCTTTAATGTTTTTGGTTCTTCTGAATGATGGAATGATGGATCCCTTGGGGAATATTTTGGCTAGAGAGGGTGAATTGTGAATGAGATGTTTATACGAATTAAAAATTTTTCCGATGCTAGGTAAACTTGGATTGTAGTCTAAAACAAGCGGAAACACTTTCTTAGACTCCTTGGTGGTGGGGGCAAGCAAATTTTCCCTAGGAATTGATTTGACTCTGTCAAATTGTTGCTTAACTTGGGAGTGGTTGTAGCCTCTATTAATTAAATAACTTTGATATTCTACACTACGTTTTTCAAAAGATTCGGGGGTGGAGCAATTTCTTCTGACTCTAGTAGCCACTCCATAGGGGATGGCTTTGGAACAATGAGCGGGATGGGCACTATTACGTAACAAATAAATGTGATTATCTGTGGGCTTAGAATAGATATCCGTTTGGATGTATCCTTCAACAAAATTGAGCGTGAGATCCAAAACATTGAGCGATGTAGGAGAATGGACAAGGGTGAATTTAATAGTTGGATACAGGGAGTTGATAAATTGCGTAAAATCAATCAGTTTAGAATGTCCCTGTGTCCAAAGGTCGAAAATATCGTCCCTATATCTCCACCACAAGTTAGGTTTTATAGTCCCTGACATGGCTTTCTTGTCGATAACACCCATAGCCAAGTCGGCATAGCTACATGCATTTTTAGGGCCCATGGCCGTCCCATGGATTTGGAGGAAGTTTTCGTCCTTGAAGTGAGAATTGTTGTGTTGGAGACAAATTTTGACAGCTTCAACAATACAATCGGTGGAAGGAAAATTTTGACATGGTAAGAAGTTCGCTGTTTGCTCCACTCCACACATACTAAAAATATTTCAGTGCAAGCGTGTAGTATCCATTGGATCCTTCTTCCAAGTGGCATCATTGTTGGAAAGCCAATCTTCACACAAATATATATATATATATATATATATATATATATATATATATATATATATATATATATATAGTGTAGTATTGATTTCCGTAAAACAGTGCTCAATACATGGAAGTAGAGCGAAGTATATGGTTTAAGAAAAAGACAAATAAACTACAAGTTCATCCTTACAAGCCTGTTTGATTAGGTCATCGCATCACCACTATTATTATTATTGTTATGTAAATCAATTTGTATATAAGCGACGGTAAAAATATATTCTTATTAAATCCTCTGATGAGTGGGCAACCACGAAACAGGCTTGTAAGGATGAACTTGTAGTTTATTTGTCTTTTTCTTAAACCATATATATATATCTGACCGGATTTGCAAAAACGTGCCCGCAAAACCGTCCAACTCAACCGGGAAATATAACTGCCCCAGGCCCCGAGACAGGCACATGAGCTGCCCAGGCAGGGGGGCGCCCTCTGTCCAAGGGCTCCCCTCCCTGCCGAAGGCTGATGTGCCCCACAGAGGACTCCACTGGAGCCAGCCCAGTCAAAATTCAACATTCACAAAAATTATTCAAGTCTGACCAACTCAGAGCGACAAAGTCCACCCCCTCCCCACCCCCTTGCTTTCAAGGCCTACTCGCCAGTCAACCACCAGCAGTTAGGCCAGACCCTGGGCTACTTTGCGGCATCAGCAAAGACGTTAGCCCCCCTCAAGTTTGGTCGGCCGCGGAAGGTGGAGTGCGGCCTATCGGCCGCACTCCACCGAAAAAGTTAGCGGCCACGTTTTTGCGAATCCGCTCAGATATATATATATATATATATATATATATATATATATATATATATATATATATATATATATATATATATATATATATATATATATATATATATATAAATGCTTGAACTGTAAAAGTCAAATCTCCAACTCCAGTTTAGATGTTTAGCTTTTAATTCTCAACGTTTCGGCCGTCGCGGCCTTCTTCAGGAGCGTCAAGTACAGCAAACTGGTCTTACATAATTCAAAATTCGTGTCAACGGAAAATAATACAGCACGCGCCACAAGTTTAAATGACGTGCTAATAACAAACTCGCGCGCATCAAGGACAAACTTGCGCACGCATCAATGGCAAACTCGCGCGCGCATCACTGACAAACTCACGCGTGTATGTATAGCGACAGTAAATGGTCAAATTAAATTAAATTAGATTAATTTAAATTGTTCATCGCGGGCTTCAACCGCTTTATCCAGTATGACTCTCTGGCTCTTCTTATATGCAGTATAAGAAGAGCCAGAGAGTCATACTGGATAAAGCGGTTGAAGCCCGCGATGAACAATTTAAATTAATCTAATTTAATTTAATTTGACCATTTACTGTCGCTATACATACACGCGTGAGTTTGTCAGTGATGCGCGCGCGAGTTTGCCATTGATGCGTGCGCAAGTTTGTCCTTGATGCGCGCGAGTTTGTTATTAGCACGTCATT